GAGAACGAGCATCGCACGGGAAACCACGAAGCACGCTCCGGACCCGTGCCGACACGGGCTGCAACGGGCACGTGCCCTTCTCGGTGACCGGACGGCGGGATTACGTACCTGTACCCTAGCATCGAGCTTATTGTTTCAACGCCGAGAAGAAAACAGGGCAGTTGTTTTCGAATGGGTTAGTAGTACTAGCAATAATTTTCAGCAAGAATCACTCTGTAGCAAACAAAAAAGCTCTACTATTACTACTACTACTACTATTAGTTGCAACTAGTAGTACATAGGCTCAGTACTGAGGCCAATCGTGTAGGGCCAGTACTGAGGACCATTCGTGGACCACTTGTGAATCTAAGGACCTATGGTACAGAACTCTTGGTGAGTCCCCAGCACCGGACCTCCTACATGGCTATATACTACTATGTTCTGGTCTAAGAAACCCTATATACTACTATATATATACTCCTACATGTTACATAGGGGTACAAGATCATCAAGAATTCCTATTCATGAAGACATCACCTTCTAACAGAACAGAACATGATCATCAGCAGAACAGAACTAGTAGTAGTAGTAGTATTCTTGAGCTACCACGTCAACAATGAGTTCTGTTCTAAACCTCCCCAGTAGAATCACTACTAGTAAGGTCTACAGGGAATTGGAACTCTGGAAGCTACTAGTAGTAGTTCCCAATCGTCTACAACACAGGAGATTGTGTTAGGGGAGATCTACTACATATCTATCATCTACTATGTCACACGTAGAAATTCATTACTAGTATAATTACTTTAAACATCATTCTAATTCACCATCAGCAGTACACGTTATTTCATGCAGTAGTAGTTCCACAATGATCATAATTGGAACAACAAGCACAATGGCCACCAGTACTAGTACTGCTGAAACTAGAAATCTTAGTACTAGTACCACTAATTCCCCATCAGAAGAAATAGGAGTTGTAGGGTTCAGCATGATTGTTGACTTCATCATGTTCTCAAGACCTACTACTTTACTACTAGTAGAGGATAACCTGCGTCACAAGTGATGTGTTTATGGTGATCCTGCTCAGGTCCAACAAGTGGTGAAAGAGGATTCTTTCCATCACAAGAAAAAGAAAGCTGTCATGTTCTATTCAGCAAATTTGAAGAAGGAAGTACTACTAGTATGAATCTAGTAGGTAGTAGGAGTGCTCCTTCTTCACAAGAAGAAGAAATTCTTGAAGAACAAGATTCCTGCATCATGTTAAATCAGTCCTCAGGCCACCAGTACTTCTTGCCTGACTCTTCAATAGACACATTAAGGATCTTTTTCTTGTGCTGCTCATTACTACTATCATTGATTGGAGCACAAATCAGCAGCCAACCAACAAGAACAAGAACAAGAACAAGAACAAGAACAAGAACAAGAACAAGAACAAGGGGGAGGAACCCACAACAACAAGAAATAACAACAACAACCCACAATCATGAAATAACCCAAAATTTACAGTCATCTGGGTTAGTGGAGAATCAAGGATGTTAATGATTTTAGTCATCAACAATAATCAATCACTGATTTTANTGGAGGAAACGCGACCATCACAACAAAAATAGAAAGGGGTTGGCACGTGATTTTTAAAAAAGGGGGTGAGTATTCTGGAAAAAAACGTCGTGAGAGCGTGCGAGAGGGTGCGATCACTTTTTGTGACGTAAGAAACCCTATATACTATATATACTCCTACATGTTACATAGGAGTACAAGATCATCACCAAAAATTCCTATTCATGATGACATCACCTTCTAGTAACAGAACAGAACATAATCAGCAGAACAGAACTAGTAGTAGTATTCTTGAGCTAGTACCACGTCAACAATGAGTTCTGTTCTAAAGCTCCACAGTAGAATCACTACTAAGGTCTACAGGAAATTGGAACTCTGGAAGCTACTAGTTCTCAGCAATTGTCTACAACACAGGAGATTGTGTTAGAGGAGATCTACATATCTATATCATCTAGTAATTCATCACTAGTAGTACTACTACTAGTAGTACTATAATTGTTACTTTAAACATCATTCTAATTCATCAGTACATGATATTTCATGCAGTAGTAGTTCCACAATGATCATAATTGGAACAACAAGCACAATGGCCACCAGTACTACTAGTACTGCTGAAACTAGAAATCTTACTACTAGTAATTCCCCATCAGAAGAAATAGGAGTAGTAGGGTTCAACTTTATTGTTGACTTCATGTTCTCAAGACCTACTTTCTTAATAGTAGTAGAGGATAACCTGCTTGTTATGTGATCCTGATCAGGTCCAACAAGTGGTGAAACATTCTTTCCATCACAAGAAGAAAAAAGCTGTCATGTTCTATTCAGAAAATTTGAAGAAGGAAGTACTATGAATGTACAGGAGTAGTACTCCTTCACAAGAAATTCTTGAAGAAGATTCCTGCATCATGTTAACAAATCAGTCCTCAGGCCACCAGTACTTGTTGCCTGACTCTTCAACAGACACATTAAGGATATTTTTCTTGTGCTGCTCATTACTATCATTGACTGGAGCACAAATCAGCAGCCAACCAACAACAACAAGGAGGAACAAGAACCCAGCACAACAACAAGAAATAACAACCCACCATGAAATAACCCAAAATTTACAGTCATCTGGGTTAGTGGAGAATCAAGGATGTTAATGATTTTAGTCATCAACAATAATCAATCACTGATTTTANCTTTGAAAACATTTGATTCAATATACCCTTGAAAATTTCTTGCGAGTAGCTTCTTGTTCAATTTCGATACCTTTTCCCCAGGAACCACCGCTACAATAATCRAACCTCCTGYCCTCTTYACCTTCTTCGATACCAAGGTGATGTTGTTGTTCTCCTTTTCCTCCAACTGCCTTTTTAGTTCTTTGTTTTGTCTCCTGAGCGTTGCAATTGTGACAGCGTCGTCGTTATCATCATTGTGCATTTTTTTTCGGTTTTTTGTTATTTACCTTTGTTGAATCTTTATCAAACCCAGTTTCTTTCAGTCTCGTTGACCTTTTGTGTTTTCCTTCGGTTGGGTGTGTTGGCCGTCCTGGTCTCATTGTGTCTAATCAAAGGCGAGTAGCTGAACCGTGCACAGTATTTTGTGTGGTTTTCTGGAAATTAAATCGTTTGTGGTTCTAACACCTGCATTTTTGCTGCCAGCCCTGTCTACCCTACTCTCCATTTGGTGTCAACCCGCAAGCACCATCAACATTGCATATTCTATTCTGATTGCATTATTCTATTCTGATTGCATCTACTAGATTCTCCCTGTATTGTCTCCTGGCCCGACATAATTGATGCTTGATTCCACCCCAATTACTTCCTGCTCTGACATGGAGTCCACCCATCTTATTCCTGGGTCCGACGAAATTGATGTTCGATCTGACCCAGATTATTTCCCAATACGACAAAAATTTGACCCAGATTATTTCTCGGTCAAACTAAATTGAGGTTCAATCAGACCCAGACTATTTCTGGGTCCGACAAAATTAAGGTTTAATCTCACCCAGATTATTTCCCAATATGACGAAAATTGACCCAGATTATTTCTCAGTCCGACAAAATTGATGTTTGATCAAGATCCACTTCGACCCAATTCGACCCAGACTATTTCTCAGTCCAACGATATTGAGGTTTGATATGACCCAGATTATTTTCCAATCCAACGATAATTCGACCCGGATTATTTCTCGGTCCGACGAAATCAAGATCCAATTCGACCCCAACTATCTCTGAGTCCGACAAAATTGATGTTTGATATGACCCAGATTATTTTCCAATACGACAATACTTTGACCCAGATTATTTGTCGGTCCGACGAAATCAAGATCCAATTGGACCCAGACTATTTGTCGGTCCGACGAAATTGATGTTTGATCTGACCCAGTTTATTTTCCAATACGACGATACAACTTCATAGTGAATTTCGGTTCAATCGAATCGCAATCAATTGCCCCCGACGCTCCATTTCGAACCAGTCCAAGCCCACTTCTTTGTCAATTGAATTTTAATCAAAGCACAATCCGATTTTGTTCAGCAATGTACAATAAGATGAAGGACAAAAACTCCTCCCTCAAAGACACCTTTCAACTTGCTACCAGCGCCTTATTTCCTCACTTCAAAAACATGGTTCAGACCATGGTTGACAACTCCATCCAGGAGGCTATCAATGTNCATGAAATAACCCAAAATTTACAGTCATCTGGGTTAGTGGAGAATCAAGGATGTTAATGATTTTAGTCATCAACAATAATCAATCACTGATTTTAATGTTTGAAAATAGGCCCACAGATTCGTGGGTTATTTGTGGTGGGTAATTTTGTTGGTTATTTCATTGGAAGAATAACCCACAAAATCATGCCCCCGAATGTTGGATTTCAAAGGGGGGGGGGGGTAAAACGCGTGCATGGGTGGGTTCCGGTGGGCCCTGGCAAAGCCCCACCTGGCAAAGCGAATTTTTTTACTTGATAACTTCATACTTCTACTTCGCATGTTTTGTTCCTCGGCGAAGGAKAAATATTCTCCTTTTGAGGCAAGGAGAACACCATGTCAACTGTTCTGTAATTTGATTGGTCATATCTTTTYAATGTCCTTTGATTACCGGAGCAACACAGAGTCCCCCCGAAGATCGTTGAACTTAGAGTACGAGTACCGTACGTACTCGTGACCGTAAGTACTCGTATGTATCGTTTTGTAAAAGGACTAACGGTCCGGAATGTTTTTAACCTACCAGTAAGAGTTCTGAACCTCAATCAAGTAGTAGTACGAAGTAAGCCAATGCTTTCTTGAAGTGCTGACCAGTGCAGTTGTGATAATCGCCTTCAGTATCCATCGAAAACTACAATACGAGAAGAGGCATATTGCGTGTGCGCGAGAGAGGGTGAACCAGATGTGGATCTTCTCGAGTTCGCAAGTGCATCTTTCATTTCATTTATTWAAAAAATCATTTCTATATTWCTTAGATAGCAAAAAGCTCTTTTACAGGCAACAATGGCTGATCAAAACGGAACATCCGAGGCTTCGCCACTTCTTGAAAAGTCGGATGCTGTCGGCACTGACACCACCGACATGTTGACCGAAACCGAATCAGTACCAGCAGGCGATGAGGATGACGATAACGATAATAGTACTACGTATTCCGAGSRGCSTGCCACCAAGAAGCGCTCGAAGAAGAAAAAGAAAAAGAGTAAGACACTCAAGCTRACCACCCAGACGGCCTTTCAACTCGAGCGAGAGGTGTCAAAGAGCCTAGCGAAGCACAACCTCGCCGCTCAGTACCTCGCGTGCCGGCATTTCTGGATCTTCACCGTTCCACAGGCCGTACTTACCTGCGTCTCCAGCATTCTGGCCTTCGTATCCACGTCGGACCTGCTAACACCGTACCACAAAACCMTCTGTGGGCTCATAGTTGGGTCCACTTCCGGTGTGGTAGTCTTTCTACAAACCATGAGTGGAATCTGCAACTACGGGGCACGAGCAGCGATGCACCAGGGTGTCGCCATCGATCTGAGGAACCTCCGGGACGACCTCGTTCTGTTGCGTCACAAGTTGGCTTCTCTCGACAAGCAGCAAGAAAAAAGGCAGAAGGAAGCTCAATGCGGCTTGGGTAACACGACTGCTGCCCAGTCTAGCAAGAGCGATCAGAACGACGACGAAGACGACGACGATACCGATGATCACGGCACCAGCTTTGATTCGATCCGAAACCGCTACCAGCAGAGTCTCACGGCTTGCAAGTCKGTCATCCCCATGGAACTSTTAGAGTCTTTTAGTGGGCTCGAGTCGAACTTGCACATCGCCAAGTCCCAGCAAAACATGACCCATATGTACGGCGTCTACGGTCACATCGATTTCGACGACTATCTCGAGACCAAGGCCTACGACATCCTCGCGGGGGAAATTCTTAATGCCTACAACTTCCCATTGCGCCTGCCCCATTCAAAGCGTGTGGTCCAACGCTCCATGGAACGCCTCAAGTTTCAGCTCGTCAAGTACCAAAATTTCTGGCCCACAGACCCACAGCAAGTTATCGAGGAAGTGGYGTAGTAGGTCTAGACGGTTTTCATACTSATAGTTGTTGCCCCTGGGTTAATTGTTTTGCAATGTGGTGTGTTTGTGTCAGCCAGTTGCTGAATATGTCCCAATGTTAAATCATTGAGACTTTTGAAAGAGAATTATTCCTTCTAATGTGGAAATGTTTAAATCAAAATTACTATTGTGTTACTAGTTCTATGCTTCAGTACCCATYACGTATGCGGCTGCYTTTTTTWAAATCATTAATTGTGGGGGTACACTGTAGAAGTACCACAATTACAGTTTACATGAGGTACCTGATTAAACAATTCTTGAATACTAGACTCTTTGTGTCAACCTGAGCAAGCACTACTACTACCTGTTGATGCAAGCAATATTATGACCCATCTGCATTGGGCTGCTTAGTAGTAGTATATTTCTGTACTACTAATTTGGATATGACAATGCTTTCAGCTGACTTTGTGCATGATCTTCTTGGTCTCTTTGCTGGAGATGATGTTGCTGCTGGTGCTGCTGCTGCTGCTGTTCTTCTTGTTGTTGTTCTTGTTGTTGTTGTTCTTCTTCTTCTTCTTCTTCTTCTTCTTCTTCTTCTTTCATTTCCCCCTACTAGTAGTACTAGAGCTGGTCTGCTTGATGCATTCTTGACTACTTTGTCTTCTGATGATTTTGAGCCCAAGATGTGGAAGTAAAACTTTAAAATTAGAATCCGAAGATCTCTAGATGCCGGACCGCTCTCTCATACGGTACCAGGTACCATACATACCGGTGATCGTATTAGTAGACTCAAGATCTCTCAAAGATCAAAAGCAGCAAATCATAACGATGATTGATGTTTCGAAGTTAKGTTCGGAGCTAATGGTACGTACGTAGTGTATGTACGTACCAATAATGATAATATGGTATCGTATGCTGTACCGGTACGACGCTCGGTGGTGCCATTCGAAACTAACTGGTACGAGTAGTAGTACCGTCTACCTGTAGAGTTCGTATTAGTACTCGTACCATCGCCCGCATCGATGGATCAACAGTCGCTCACATATTTCGAAAAACTACACGATGACGATCAGACCACTATCTGGTTGGAGCATTCTCTGGACGTTAGCAGCAACAACCTCTACATCCCCTTTAGTCGCCGTTTCACGAGGCGGGTTTCCTTCCATCCAWCAAGCCCATTCKTTTGCGTTTAGCAGCTACGGTAGCCGAAACAGAGGCACCACCAAAAGCCTCTTCCCGCAGCAAGAGAGAGGGTGGATAYCGGGCACAACAAGGAAGATTCCCACCACTGCAATGGCTTCGTTGACTTCATCGGCGTTATCGTCGGCGAATGATTCCTCAACAGCAGCACCCGTCGTCCGATTCGTCGACATYGGTGCCAACCTCTTGGACTCGAAGTATACGGAAGGCGTCTATTTTGGAAAGAAACGCCACGAGCCGGACTTTGACGAAGTTCTTGCTCGATCCGTCCGACAGGGTGTCACCCATATCATTCTGACGGCCGGGACTCTGGCCGAAAGCCGCGAGGCAGTGAGCGTAGTGCAGGAGTACCGCACCAAATGGCAAGAAGAAGATGCCCCGCCTCCCCTGTTCTTGGGGTGTACCGTGGGCGTCCATCCCACCCGGTGCCAGCAAGAATTCATCGACAACCTGGATGGCGAGACGGCGCAAGAAACGGAACCGAGAACCGCCGACCACGTCCTCGACGACTTGTTTGCACTGATGTCGGACGCCTTTGATCGCGGATACATCGTGGCGATCGGTGAAATCGGTCTCGATTACGACCGGCTCGAGTTTTCTCCCAGGGACGTCCAGATCGAGTTTTTCCGGCGCCAGCTGGACCGTTTCCTGTACGGGGATCGACCGGAGATGGGCAGCCTTCCCCTTTTTTTGCACAACCGTAGCGTCGGCACCGATGTCCTCGATATCCTAAAAGAAAACCGAGCAAGGGTCAATTCCCACTCGCAGGCACCGGTCCCCATCAAGGGCGTCGTTCATTCCTTTGACGACAGCCTCGAGCTGGCGCGGGAATTCATCGATCTGGGCCTCTACATCGGCTTGAACGGTTGCTCGCTCAAGACGGAGGAAAACCTGGCCGTCGTGAAGGAATTGCCGCTGGAACGGATCCTCCTGGAGACGGATTGTCCGTACTGCGAGATCAAGGCGACCCACGCCGGGCACCAGYACGTGAAGACGACCTTYCCCAAGAAGGCCGACAAGAAATTCGAGCTGGGAACGATGGTGAAGGGCCGGAACGAACCGTGCCAGATCGTCCAGGTCGCGGAGGTGATTGCCGGCGTCAAGGGAATCACGGTCGAGGAGGTGGCGGAACGATGCTACGCCAATTCGATGGAGCTCTACGGAAACGCGTTTGGGAAGGCGTGACGGGCGAGTCGTCCGGGCCACAGAACATCAAACACTGCAGCAGCGCCGTGATGGAACCAAACCAACACAAACCGATGAAACGAGTTGGGCGCATGCTGGCGACGCCGCGCTCCCCTCTCTCCACTGCGAGACATCACACGGAACCGTCGCCTTCTATACCAAGGGACAAAGGCGAATGCATCCTTCCCTGCTTTCTCAATCGGCTGTAGGTCTTGGAAAAGTACGGGGTTGGCAACGCTAATAGTTTAAAGGAATTCATCACAGACAATATTTTTTCAACTAAATTGAAAAGTTCTCCCCGAGAGGTACACGGCGAACGGACAAGCAAAAAGGTTTGAACGGAAAAATCCCTTGTTGCGAGAGGCCACATGGTAGTTTTTCAAATAGTGTCACAGTATGTTACAGACGTTTTAAGTACCAAGTGGTTCGATTTCGTTTGCAATGTCTCCGGTGGATGGMAAAAATGAATGCATCCATTCGCGCGTGTAGTGTTTTTGGTAAGGCCTTGACAGATTCGTTTCGGTTGCTTTGACTGCCGCGTCCCTCTATGTTGCACGGGCTCGTGAAACCGTTGGCTATTGTCTGCCGATGGCTTGGATGGTTGGTTGGTCGGTTGGTTCGCGTCTCCGTTTGCGCCAGAAGGGGACCACCGGCCCAACCACACCCGCCTCGCCTCGCCTCGCCGCGACACGCTGCCACCACCAGAGGCCTTTGTTGCCGTGTGCGCCGCGTGCCTGCWCACACCGTTCGTTGATTCGTTCGTTCTTGCTCGTTCGTTCGTTCCCACACTCGCCAGCCAGCCAGCGACCAAGGCAGCTAGCTACCACTGGGTCTGAATGTCCATGGGAACGATTTCCATCCGCATGCCCATTCCCTCGGCGGCCCCCTGGATCATTTCCCTCGAGGTCGGCGTCGGGATCGGTTCCTGGTCGAGGGCGGGGTCCTCCTTGATGGTCCGGGCGAAGAGGACGCAGTCCGCCATCCCCTCGAAGCAGAGGAGGAGCTCCCCGTCGGACCCCCGTGGGTGCTTCATCGTGTGGACCCCCTCCTCGGGGGTCCCGGGGTTGTAGACGATCGTGTAGACGACCTCCGGGAGGTCTCTTGGCGAGAGGGGGGCTTCCATGGCCTGGGCGAGGAAGCGGTCCTCGGCCTCGAGGATCGACTCGGAGAGGGCCGTGGCGGTCGCGCGGGGGGCCGGCCGGGAGGGCAAAAAGGCGGTGGCGGCCGGGGACCGGGCCAGGAGCCCGAGGAGGGGGAGGGCGGAGAGCTTCATGCCTGCGATGGGTTCGGATCGGATCGGATCGGGGTGGCGTTGCGTTGCGGATTGCGTTGCGGATTGCGTTGCGGATTGCGTTCGACTTGTCGGAGTTTGGTGCCGTCGGCGAGGAACAATTGGGTCGGCGGTGGGGACGGATTCGGATCGATGTTCTGACACCGTTGTGGGATGGTGTCGGTAGTACAGTAGATGGGATTGTTCGCCGGGAGCGGACGGAAGGAGTGTTGCGGGATATTCGACGACGATGCGCGGTTCCTGCTACGGTRCGAGTACGTAGGCACCATACCGTACCGTGCCGTGCCGCACGGAACGGAAGATCACAGTTTGGGTTCGTCGAACGAGTTGAAGAWGATGATGATGATGTCACATCACTGCTCGTTCTTTGGCGTGCCGTACCGTAACGTAGCCTTCGATCCGGTAGGGTAGTACGTACCGTACGGTACGTAGGGTAGGATACGTTGAGTTGTTGACGTCGTTCGTTGCACGATAAGATTGGGACGGAACCAAGCAGAGGCAGCCGAAAATCGGACGAAAGATGCGTAAGTACTAGTAGTACTTGCCTTTGCTCGGAGTCCACGTGGAGCTAATGCACGGTTCTGTACGTCGTCGTGAAGGAACAAGTGAATCAATCAAGACATCCATCATCCCTAGCCTAGGTGTCCAAACGTAGTACGAGTACTGTACGATCTCTACGAAACCCGTCCGTACCGGCCAAACGCAACATCTGTCCCGATCGCAAAGAAACGGTTCTGTTTGAGTAGTACCGTACCGTACGGTTCTTACGGTAAGGGTGAAGACAAAAGAACGATGGCTGTCGATTGAGCCGTATCGTGCTCGTACGGTACGGTACGGGTACGTACCGAATCGTACCGGTACGGAACCGTGAACGGATCGGACGGGGGAGAAAGGAGAGAGAAAAAACACCGCCATCTGATTTTCGTTCGCCTTCGGAGAGTGCAAACAACACGTGTCGTGTGAGGTCGTAGGATTCGTATGGCACCCTACGCACCGTGTTGGATTGTTGAATGTATTGTGTTTTCTTTCTCTTTTTACGGTTGATGTGGTCGTGGGGAGCTTCCTTCCCAACATTTTCCGCACCGCCTACGTAGACTACGGTACTCGTAGTGGAACAACGGGTAGAACCCACCGCGGCACGATTGCCGGKTGCCACACATTCGTCGGGAACACACCAGAAACAATCGACGACCCGAGCACCATTCGCACACACCCAACCGCAACAGCTTCTCTGCCTCCGGCAATCGAACAGCTTTCACACCGACCTCCTCCTGCTGCGGGGCCGAATAAGCAAAAASCCACTCCGTGAAAGGCAGCTTCCTCGATTTTAGTGGTGACAGAGCGCTTTCCCGTCGCCCACATTCGCTGGTTTTAAAAGGCATCGCCGAAACGGACTCGGAGCAAACGACAACAACGACCATGGCGTCGCCCCTTCACAGGCTCGTGCCGTCCAGGAAACGTTCCAGGGCCATCATGGGCGGACAACAACAACAACAAAAGCAGCAGCAGCAACAACAAAAGCAACGACAACGACAACAACTGCTAGAAGAACGAGGACTGGAGACCTCCCGTGACTGCACAAAAGCATCCCTCTCCGGCTCCCTGGTCGGCACCACCACCGAGGAACCGAACCGCGGGCAGCGGATCCCGCTCCGCCTGGGTTCCGGGAGCCACAACCACCACCATTACAGGACGGTCCTCTGTCTCGTCGTCTCCCTGCTCCAGCTCGCACGGCCGGTCCACCCGTGGAGTCCCTCCCCGTCGCTCTCGTCCCTCTCTGGCAACACACCGAGGGCATCGGCGGAGAAGCACCGCGGCCACCGCCTTTCCGGGACGGCCTTCCCCTCCTCCGACGAGCTGCAGCATCGGCAACAACAAGACCGGCCCCTCTCCTGGATGTCGGCAATGGATCTCCCGGCCATTCCCTCGTCCGAACTCTTGTCCTCGCGGTCCCTCCTTGCTTCGAACAACAACAACAACAACAACAACAACATCCGGATCGATGCGAACGGCCAGCGTTCGTTCGAGCATCCTTCGATGTTGCTCGGAGAATCCTTTTTCTCGCCGATGGGAAGCCAGCGAACGACCGCGAGCAAGAATCCCGGGTCCCCGGCGTCCGTTCCGCCCGCCAGAAGCCGCAGCGAGAAGCCGCTCGGCGGCGAGGRCRAGCGCCGCGTGCTGGGCTTCGATGCCTTTGCACTGGGCTCCACACGCGACCGCCCGGCGAGCGAAGAGCGGTGGACCGGAGACGAGGCCGTTCCGGAGCGGCAGCCACGGCCGTCGGGCTTCTTCCCGGCCCCCGGCCTGACCTGGAAGAACTCGCCCCTCGGCCCGGACCACTCSGACGCCGGGCCTTTGTTCCCCGCGAGGGACCACCCCGAGCCGATCGGGTTTTCGGGAGGACCGCTCGAGAACCCCCCGGGGGTCCGCCTCCTCCGCTTCTCGTCYGTCCTCCCGGCGTGGTTTCCCTGGATCCCGACCAAGTCGCAGATCTGGTCGCTCAAGGCGAAGGAACTCCGGGAAGCCTGCTCCCARCGGGGCCTTGCCAAGGTACGAGCACGACACGAGCACGAGTGCGGAGCCGCGTTCCCGATTCGTTCCCGGATCRCGCCTCGTTTGTGCATGGATCGATCTCGCYTCGCCTAGCCTAGCCTCACCCTGTTTTTCCTTGCCTTGTTTTGCATCGGTTGCCTCTGTATTTTTTTCTSAACGCCCCTTTTTTCGCAGTCCGGCAACAAGCCGGTATTGCGGGAGCGATTGTGGGAGTGGACCACCGAGCACCAAATACAACACCAGGCCAGACTCAGTGGTGATTACCTTACGAACTGGTTCGAAGAAGACAGCGATGCGAACGATCCCAATGCCTTTTTGCTAGAGCGAAGGAAACAGGAGCGTCAACAACACGAAACGAGGGAACCCTCCGGCAACGTCGAAAGAAAGAGCGAGAACGAACTCCGAAGCGAGTCGATTGGAACGCGGCAAACACCCGACGAGAATGGCGACAAACGACAAGCGATCGATGGGAACCGGACGCCGAATTCCCTAGCGGAGTGGTCGAGGTCGGTCGACACGGATATGTTCAAGAAACGACGCGAGGAGATCCATCGTCGGAAGCGCATCGGAAAGAAACCCGATGCCAAGAAATCGCACAAACACTCCTCGATGGAGGGCGTCGCCGACACCCCCGAGGCCACCAGAGACTACCTGAGAAGGCTCTCGAACGCAATGAACTCGTCTCCGTCCTCCCCGTACGCATCCAACAACAAAGACGCCAGGGAGCTGTACGACGCGTCGAAAAAAGCCGATCAGCTGGGAGAAACCGAGCTGGCCATTTCGCTCCTGGAATCCCTCTTGGAAATCACCCCGAAGGATGCCCGTCTCTACCGGCGGCTCGCGCGCATGCACAACGACCAGGGAAACTCGGACGTGGCTCGTGCCACCCTCCAGAAGGGCCTCCGGTTGCTGCCCGACAATCCGTGGCTGTGGCACGGAATGGGACACCTCGAGCTATCCCACGGCCGCACCGACTACGGAGTCCGGTGCTACCAACGAGCCATCCAGGAAGACCCTTCCTTTGCCCATTCCTACCATGCCTGGGGGATCCACGAGTTCTCGGAAGGAAACATTGCGAAGGCCATGAAGATACTGAAGAAGGGAATCGAGTACTGCCCAACCAACCACCGACTCCACCACGCCCTCGGCGATCTCTACCGTGGTGCCAAGCTCCTGAAGGACGCGGAACGATGCTACAAGCGTGCCCTGGAGGAAGGGCCCGCGGTGAGCCACGGCTTTGCCCTCTCGGCGCTCGCCAACGTGGCCTACGAGCTGGGCAACGTCGACGAGGCTCGACTGTGGCTCTACCAATCGATCGAATCCAACAACGGAAGGCACGCGCAGGGATGGCTGGCACTCGCGCAGCTCGAGGAAGCCGAGGGGAGCGTGGAACAGGCCCTGACGGTGTGCGAGGCAGCGATCATCCGGTACGAAAAAGAACTGATCGATGCCCGGAAGCGGTACAAGAGGGACTCGAGAAACTCGGTGTACTACGCCAAGACCTTTCGAGACCCGACCAGGTCCAAAGAAGTTAGGGAGGGCCTGATGGAATCCGTTCCAAAGTACCGATCCGGGGACAAATTTCTTAGTGTCTTTCGGCACTGGGCGCGKCTGGAGGGACGGTACGGAACCCACGACGGCACGAATCGTGTCTACGAACGTGCCTCGGCCGCATTTCCGGCAAGCCACCGGATTTCGCTGGACTGGGCTCTGTACCACGCCAAGCTCCACAACGTCGGAAGGGCCCGGAGCCTTTTCGGAGAAGCCTGCAGCAGGGCGTCCAACCTGCACGCCGATCCCTATCGCGAGTACGCGTCCTTCGAGATGTCCATTGGCGAGTTCGAGCAGGCACGGATAATCCTCTTTCGGGGTGCACAGGCCGTGACGCGATCGCCGGACGGGGGACTCGGAGACACCAGTGGGCGGGGACTGGCGCAGCTCTACGTCACGTGGGCCGTGTGCGAGTGGCACCTCGGAAACATTCCCCGGGTGGAAGTCCTCTTCGAYCACGCCCTCCGCCTGACGGAGGTCGGCAGCCGGGAGGGCTCCGAGCTCCGGTCCTTTATCTTGTTTTGCATCGCGCGGTTGGAATACTACGAGCGAGACGAGCTCTACCTAGCGCAGCACTGCATCGGCCTCTGCCTAAAGGAGAACTCCCTGTGCGGTGGCAACGCCCCGGTCTGGAAGCTGTGGGCCAAGGTCGCCCGCGACATGGGAAACCACCACATGGAAGACGAGTGCCGCGGGGAAGCAAGGCGCTGCGGGAGGACCCGGGAAGGCGAGGCCGGAGAAGACACCGTCGTGGACGCGATGGACGTCCTCAAGGAATCCCAGAACATGAAGAACCTGCTGCGGCAGCAACCCTGGCACGACAAGCTGCAGACCGCGCGGGGGTCCGGGCCGGYKGCATCGGCGGCAGCAACGACGACGCCACCGGGTTCGATCGGGGACTTTTGCGCGGGCCTCCGCATCCCCACCCGCCGGAAGCGCCGACGCCGGAGCGACCGAACCGCCGCCGGGAGCAGGGTGCGGACCGGAGGCGCAGAAGCAACGCGAAATCCACCGGGTTTGGTGCGCCTCCCGGACGATTCGTGCGAGGAAACCAAGAACMGCACAGAKCCAAACCACTAATCCTAGGACATAGAATACAAAAGTTACACACACRCGCGCGAACGCAAACACAACCGCAAACACAAACGCATTTAGATTTTTTTTCCCTTCTAAGACGCACTAGGCCGAGACCTTTGCCGGTGCAGTAGAATGTCGAKGGAAGCTACCGGCGGCAGTGCCGTGCCCGGCGTCGATCGTCCGCTCCGCCGCCTTCTCGCCGAAAACGAATCGTCGGAAAACCTCTCTCTTGTGTTTTGTCGGCTACGGGACGGGACGGCGGACGGCTCCGTCCCCCGACGACACGGCATCGTCGTCTCTGTTCGTGCTGCCGCGGAGTGATTGTCCACAGGCCTATTTTGTTACCACCATCTGCTGCGTGGTCGATCGACATGGAAATGACGAGAAGGATTCATGGGCGAAGGTAATTCGTTTTTAATCATTCAACCTGTTATGGCTATTACTGTACATTTGTTTTGTTCCGAAAACCAATCCACGAACCGACCCTCCGATCGCGCGTGAAGAGTTTCCATTCCGGTATTCAATTCAATTCAATTCAACTCGGCTCGGCTCGGCTCAACTCAGTAGACGCTTGTGGCCGTTGCCGGCGGAACGGCCGTGGGGTTGCTGCTCCGGCTGTTCCTCGTCCGGACCACGTTGGCGGCGGTCGTTACCAGTTGCGTCACCGCCCTCGTCACCTCGGGATCGACGTGGGTGTTGGTTCGCTCGGCATGGTCCTTCCACAGCTTTGGCAAAAACTCGCAGGCCCACCCGATGCACGCACTCGGCACAATGTCGGTAAAKGGTAGGGCTTCCTCGATAAAACTCAGGTACTTGAGGTTGGGAGACGTCGATTCGTACATGGCCATGATCAGCACGGTCTGGGCCGGTGCCCACGCCAGATCCAGGCCTTCCCCGGCCAGCGGAAGCAGATACGAGGAGGAACCGATCGCGTCGATCAGCAGACTGATCCAGAGCTTGGCCCACATCGTGTCCGGCATGATCTGCCGACAGACCGAAACCGGCGTCGGCCTGGGGCCCGTGTCGTAAACCAGTGCCTGTCCGGGCCGGGAGACCACGAGGGTTTCGACCAGGGGGGTCAGCAACGATCCCAGTTTCGAGCGCCCGGTAGAGGTAGAGGAATACAAAAGTCCGCCCGACAAGGCGACGGTGGCCAAGAGTCCCGCACACACCAATACGATGGGCAGGAGAAAAGGCAGGGCCAGAGCGGCAACCCCCGCCAAGAGCGGGACCGCCGCCACCACCACGGCCAGAAATGGGGCCGCGGGCACCAACAGTAGGTTCTTGTTAAAGTTGATTCCGATGTTCGGAAGGCTGTTTCCCATGGCCGAGGACGACCGGGAAATCTTTCCCTCGATGGCATCCACGACGCCAAACCATGTCCTCGCGAGATTCACCAACGCCGCAATTTCCGGCCGGTACCTGTGATGCGATGCATGTGTGCACGAAGAAAACGAGTCGCAAACCCGCGAGTGAAAATTAGCATTCTGTGGCAAAGCGTCAAAACAAAACCACACGGCCCTTTCCAGAAAGGCAATACGATGGGAAACAACAGGCTGCCGCTATACTTACGGTCCAGATAGTTTGAATTTGATTCGAATGGTCGGTGGCGGAGACATGTCCTCTTCGGCAACCGAAGGGATGGTTGCTGTAGATTTCACGATCGCGCTCTCACTCGTATTCGCATTGCCGTTGCTGCCGTTGTTGCTACTACCATGTGTTGTTCCGGGGCGTGGCGTCGGTGCGAGGTTGAGGATCAGCCACTTTTGTTCGTGGATGTGGAGCTGGCGCAGATCCAGCTCGGTTTCCAGGCATTTCTCGGGATCCTCGTACACGACACGGATCTTGAGGGTCTCTTGGTAGAGTTCCCGGAGTGGGGCCACAAGCTTAATGGGCGCGGCCGAGGCAGCGCTGGTTTTTGCCTTGCTGGCTCCGATGGAATTGCTGCCGCCCTGTGTCTTTGTTTTGTCCGGCATGACGGGGGCAAACCGAAAGGAATTTCGGTCCTTTTGCCGGGCCAGGGGAGGTCCGCTCGAGACAAACATCCCACGCACAGAGAGCGTCACGGCCTTTGGGATGACATCGGGATAGGGCAGGTCGTACACCGAAAGGACATTGGCCTCGAGGCACCCGTGTTCTTCGAGGGAGGTTTCGGAGGAGGCAGGTGAGGCCGGTGCCCCCGGTTGCGGTTGCTGGTTCCTTGTAGTAGACAAAGGTGCCATAATGTTAGGATTGATATTGATACACCGAGCTAAAGCTAGTCACTACTACTTATATATGGAGAATGCGTACAGCTAATCAATGCTGCGTGTGTAATGGAACGTTGGGTTTATGCAAGGCTTTGGACATTCTTTCAATTGTACAGCCGCATGGGATAGATTCTCATAAAGGAATACGGACTGCGTAGTGCGAGTCGCAGTACGATTAGTAACACTCTATCTACCGGATGGGCTCCGTCGGAGAACCACCTACCCGTATCCTCTAAGGTTCGAGTACTGTACCGGTACGTACCTAGCACGAACTATTAGTACAGACCTGTCGTAAGGAACGGGAATGAATGGGGGGTAAAAGTCACTCGAACAAAAGAAAAAATTGATGAGAATGCTTTTTTTGTACACGTCGTTTTTTGATGTACGGTATGCCGTGCGGCAGACACCACGTCTGACTCACCGACACGATTGGATCTTCAGGTGTGAAGGAAATATTTCTGAAAAACTACGGATCACATTTTTCATTTTTCATTTCTGAACCCGATTTGCTACAGAATAGTTTTCACTTCTGGAAATTTACTGATTCACTTTCAGTATTGGCGGTAGTAGTATTAGTAGTATTATTACTACTACACATAAAACAACAATTGAAATTACATGCATTATTGAAGGCATTGGGAACATAAATTTAACATTCTGAATGGTGTTAGTAGTAGTTCTTTGAATTTAGAGAATGTTAATTTCACCACATTTGGAACCTTAGTATATCATTGCTGCCACTGTACTACTACTAGTAGGCCTACATAGATTCTAGTACTAGTAGTAGCACTACTACTATCCCCATTCTTCAATATGGTACTAGTGCACTACCTTCCCAATTGTAGCTTGCTACTACTACTAGTAGTACTAGCATCAAAACCAATGATTTTGGTCTTGTTTCCCAAAAAAAAGGAGGAAGAGAACACCTCCCCTACTACTATTCAGAATGTTAAGCAGAGCATTCATAACCTCTAGTATGTCAAGCAAAAACCACAGTACTCATTTTTACACAGGCATGTGCTGTTACATTTGGAATCATGTTAAATTGACATTCCCAATGCCTCGTCAATTAAAAAAATTTCAATTGTTGTTTTACATGTAGTACATAACTAGTAATATCCTCTGCTGATAATGGTTGTGGTGCAGTACCTTTGCTGAGTCCTGAGTTGTCCCACCAGTGCTATTTTGAACTGTTAGTAGTCATTTTGTGAATTAAAGAAAGACTGGTGGTCAACACAGGATTAAATGACTTAACACAGGAGCAAGCGCAAGAGCCCTGAGTCCCCCTCATGCTATTTTGAACTATTCATTTTAGTGAATTAAAAGACTAGTAGTAGGAATAAAAGATTATTGTCATTACTACTTCTTATCCAAAAAGTGAATCAGTAGATTTCCAGAAATGAACAATATTTCTAAGCAAATCAGTAGATTTCCAGAAATGCTGGTTCCATTTACGGTACTTGTAGTATTTGTTTGTCTTATTGTAAGCATTGCAAAGTAAAATACTAGTACTAGTACTACCATATGAGACAGAACAACAAGATGGACTAATTCTATCTCACCCCTGATACCCTGAACCCTGAAGGAGTAAGCAGTACCAGCAACCTATCACCATACAGTACCAGGTAGTACAGTAGTACAATACAATCTGTACAAGATGAGGATAATGTCTGGCGTTACTGGTGATCAGTAGTACTAGTAGTGATAGTAGTAGTACTAGGTCATAGTAAATTTTAGTAGTAGTAACCATCACCAAAAGAACAACAAGAATGAATTAGTACTCCTCGTGGAAACAGCAGACATGGTAACTTCATCGCTATGTTGTTACACTTCATCATCAACAACAAGAACGACCAGGAACCAAAAACGGATTCACCACCCACACGACTCGTCTAGGTCGGAAACGTGCCTTCCGTCCATTCCTGAGCGTGTGTTGCACTGGATGTTAGTGGACATGCTCACAATGTAATGAAACCACAGGGACGGGAGAAACAAAGAGTCCCCCGCCTGTAGGACGACCTCGTTCCCCTCCGCCGCCTCGAACCGCGGGTGCGCCAACAGGTCGGGCCGAGCCCAGTCGACAGAAGAGTGACGGGCGCTCGGGTGCCCGTAAGGGAAGAGGGCCATGTTGCCGCACTGCCTTGGGTGGGCAAGAATGTAGCGACGTTCTCCGCTCAGGACGGTCACAAAATTGCGTTCCCCATCGAAATGGTTCGTGGTCATGACACCCTTCATGCCAAAGCGGCAGTTCAGTGCCTTCGATCCCGCGCCGGCGGGACCTTGCAGGGCAATCTTTTCCGCCAGCGGCTCTTTGACGTACAAACTAGCTTTGGTTTGTGTATAAAATGGCAACTCATCGGCCAGATACGGAACGTGTCGGGCCTTTCCCGGCAGTATCGAACACGTGTTATCCTCGAAGGAATCGGCCCCGTGTCCGTTGTTGTGGTGAGTGGGGGGACGTGCCGGAGCGCATCCCACCACACGGAAATAATAATGGGGGGACTCCGGCCCCAGCAATTGCGGATCGGTCACGTTGGCAAGGGCCATCCACTTGGCAAAGGTCATTTCTGTGAGGTCAGTCGGGGCTTTGTACGAGGCAGCGTCCATGGGATATTTGCGGCTGTCGACCCCGTTTGCCGTCCAATAGGTAAAGCTTCCAGAGGCACTGGTCTCGGTGCCGTGTGGGAGATCTCCCAGGAGCGCTTCGAGGTAGTGTGGAGCATTCCACCGTTCCACGGTTTGGGCTACGGCCGGATCGCCCCGGACCACAAAGGGGACCTCGGCGTTCCGGTACGCAATGGCCTTGCGAAGATCGTCGGGATTCGCTTGCAAATCAAAAACACACAGTCCCTGGTAGAGAGTCCCCGATGCGGGCAACTCGGGATCGTCCGCCGGCCATTGGCCCAGGACGTCATGTAGGAGATTCCATTCCTTCGGGTACCCCGGAAGTGGTTCTTCGGTACAATTGTGAATGTCGTAGTACAGATTGTGACCACTGCTGTTGCCACTGCTATCCGAATTGTCTGGATTGACAGGGTTCGATGCTGAAAGGTAGGTTTGCAAATTAGTATATGTTTGGAGGTCTTCGACGGCTTGGAGGGCCCGTTTTGCGTTTGCATCGTTCCTACTGCTGCTTGAGAGATAGGGTGGAGGAAAGAAGGATTCGTAGGATTGGCGCAACTTGGCGTAGAACGAAGATCGATCGTTGAAGATGACATCCTCCTTGCTCTTTGATGTAAGCTTTCGTTCGATGTTGGCGTTGCTATTTTTGTCAAGAGTTTGCTCTGGGACATAGGTCTCGTCATCCAGCGCGATCCCCAAATTATTGACATCAGCGTTCTTGCTCCCGCTGCTAGAGAAAGGGCGCTTCATAAATTTCCAGGGATACGGTTCGAAATCTTCGTGGTCCTCGTCTCTCCAATAGTCATAGTAGCGATGCCCCCGGGGACGACGAACTCCTCGACCGTTAACGAAGGAGATCGAGATCGATGCCATAGATTTCGCAACAAGCCTCGAAACGGAAACAGTTGGGGATCTGGGTCGAAGGCTCGTGCTACTCACCAAAAAAATTTCAACAATCGCCGTTGCCGCCGCGGCAAGGATCAGTGCTGCCATCGCTGCAGCGAGAACGGTGCGGGTCGGATCCTTTTCATATTGCTGTTTCCACGAAACAAACAAAACGTAACGTTTGTGTTTCTTGGTTATCGCTGCGGTTGTCCCGCGACGAGACGACAGCGATAAGGGCGATGTCGTCGTTGCCACCGTCTTTTTCCTGCTAGTAGTATTCGTCGTCATCAAGCGTTTGAGCAACATGTCGTTCATTGATCTGAGACAAAAGTATGGACGGATCGATTGGTTTAATGATTGATTCCAAAGCTTTTATATATAATTACAACTCTCTCCAAATGTTTTGAGAACCAGCCTGCCAATCGTCGGTACAATCTATTTCTGTACCGGCTCGTGCGAAGGGACGAGAAAAGAGATGCTTCTCATCAAAACGAATTGGAATTCGTACGAAAATGTGAGCGAAAAAGAGCTTCTCACCAAAATCCGCAAAAGCCACTACGTACGAGGAATTATTTATGACCCCTGGAATTATCCGGGTCTCCGTCTAACGCCCAGTACAAAACCTACAGGTATCCAGTACGAAAATGTGAGTAAAAATACTGGTGAAGGTGTAAAACTGTGATCTGTGATCGTACCCAACAGAAGTATGCACCATATGTTCATATCTATTCTTATCTATGGGACGTACGAGGACTCGACGGGATTTTTAAATTTTTAGGAAGCCGAGAAGCTGTCTTCATACATACAGTACGGTACCTACGGTACCGGAATTCAAAAAAAATATTCCGTGATAGTAAAGTACGACTGTACGTACCGTAAGTACCGGGTAACTTTAAATGAAACACTTACTGTATTACAGTAATTTGAAAATAATAATACTGTAATATTGTTTTGACCTCTATTTTTACTGAAGCTGTTATAAATTATGAGTTTTGCCCATAATAACATATAGACGGATAATGTATGTGCGGCCGGGCTCTTAGCAAATGGGGCTTCATGCGTACTACACATGCTTGGTATAAATGCATATGGTAACAACATTGAGAGTGCCGACCACAGAGGTGCATGGCACCCAACAACGAAACAACAACGCAAGAAAAAAATATATGTTGTGCGCAGTTTCTCCCATTGGCTCGAGTTGCCATCACTTGTTTCTGTAGGTTTTGGTCGCTTTCTTTCTACGGAGGAATCGATCCAACGATCCATTTCCACAGTACTGCTGCCCCCCTTCATAGTTTCACCGTGTCCCGCAAGTTGTAGGACCGAGGAGATGTGTGTTGCAGAGGAGAAGGAAGACTCGAAGATGGCAATGAAGACGATCGCTTTGGTCCCGCAGCCCGATGATTCCCTCTTCGTCCATCGGTCTGCGTCGTAGCAATGCTTTGACCATCCAAAAACTCGTCCGACATGCCCAGCGGACCCATCTGTGATCGTTGGCGCGAGGAAGGACTTCGAACGACGCCAGAAAAATTGAAGTGGGATTGTACGTCATCGCCAACGCTCGGACCCGCGGAAGTTTGGTATTTGCCGTAGTTTTCTTCAAGGTCCAGCTCGCTACGGACGATTGGACCCGGCTCGTCGCCATCGTCTGAATCGGACAAGTCGAGGTGGTGAATTGCGCCCATGGCATATTGCATTGGCAAGCCCTTTCGATTCGCCTCCATCTCACGCAGATATTCTTCATCCTCCTCTCTTTGCCTGTTTTTGTTACGGCGGTTGAGGCTGACACCCATCAATATCAACAAGAGCACAAATCCCGACGCAACAGCAATCGTTGCGATGATGGGTGGCGTCAACCCTCGTTTCTCGTTGTTGTTGGAAGCCATGCTACCCTCGATTCCAACGGCCGTGTTGTCAATCGCAGAATTTCCGTTTTCATCTATGGAAAAGCCGCCACTGTTGCTGTCAGCTTCGTCGTTACCAACCTCTGAACCGTTGGTGGCAGTCTCTTGATTGGTGGCGCTATCCTCGTTGCTTTCATTGTCGTCTTGTTCCTTTTCGTCCGTCACTTCTTCCTCCCCGTTACCTGCACCATCTCCGTCTACCACAAGCTCACCGCCCTGGAAGGAGACGTCCAAAACGTTGGAATTTTCGGGTCCACCTTCGCGTAGCACAAACTCCAAAAAGTCGATGGCATCTTCTGCAAAGTTTTTGGCAACCGGACCATTGTCATAGTCATTCGCGTCCGACCAAAGCTGCTTGTTGGTCTTTTTCCCAACGGGAGATTCATAGGCAAAGATCCGCGACACTGCCTTCATCACAATACAATTTTGACTTGAGTCGTCGTTGCTGCCTTCGTCCGCATCGCCGTTACCTCGTTTTTCAACGGAGATTCCTGATTGGGAAGACAACAAGGAGCCGGTACCACTACTGCACTCAGCTCCATCTTCAACTTCGTGGGTTTTAGATTGCAAGATCCAAACGGCATCGTTCTGGTACGGATAGTCCACACCCCTGCCACATACTAAAAACTCTGCCGCCAATTCATCGTGAAGTTCCCTTGTCCAAAAGTCCGAAACCTCCTGCATTTTGGAATCGTCCGTGTTGATAGCAACTGCGGCGGAAGCAGCATCTTCAGTGGATAGAGTTACTTCGTAGCGATACACGAAAGTGGCTGCCTGAACAAATTCAATAACCGGTGGAGCTTCGTTGCACTGTGATTGTCGGATCGTCGCCTGCAAGTCATTGTCATATTTCTCTTCGGTGGAATAGTAAAGAGACACAGTTGGTTTTGTAGTAGGAGACTTTTTCTCTGTCGTTGGAGCAAGGGTCGGTGCCGACGTTGGTTTGGTTGTGGGAGGATTAGTAGAAGAAACGACCGGCGGCTTGGTGGGTTTCGTCGTTGGTTTCTTCGTTGTTAGAGAATCCGTTGGCGGATCAGTTGGCTCCTTCGTGGGCTCCTCCGTCGGCGCCTTCGTTGGCTTCTTCGTTGGCTTCTTCGTGGGATCCTTCGTAGGCTCCTTCGTGGGCTCCTTCGTGGGCTTACTTGTAGTAGGTGCTATTGTAGGGTCCATAGTTGGATCTTTGATGGGAGCCCTTGTGGGTTCCAGGGTCGTTGGCGCCAGAGTTGTAGGTTTGGGCGTTGGCGAACCATCGGTGTTGTCGTTGCACACACAGGGCATGTGATCAAAGGCGTTGTAGGCATCGCAGACCACCCATCCTGCTTCATATGAGACGCGACAGCAGGCAGAAGGTGACGTACTGTCGTTATATCCACACGAATTTCGTTCGTTGTAGCACTTGGTTTGGATCTCACCCCCACTCGCCAAAGGGAGACGATCGTCCGATGGATCCAGGTGAATGGCCCGAATAACTTCCGGCGGTATGCAGGCTCCGGCTTCCACTAGTGTAGGTCTTTGTAATTCTCGTTGTATCGGTGGCTGTTGCAGGTCAAGATTGGATGCTGCAGATGCACTACTACTCGTACTTATTGCTCCGCTGTATATGCTCGTGGTAGCATTACCAACAGCGAACATGAAGGAAAAACAAAGCAAGAGGAATGCCGACAATTGATGCTGATTCATCGCGGCGGAAAGTCCATTCATTGTTGAGATCGACGACCACTTGGATCGTTCCTTCTATGTCTATTGATCGGTTCTCGGAGTATTGTGATGCACAGCGATGTGCCAATGATGTCTTGTGTTATCGTCCGTTGTGTCGTCGGATTGTGAAACGATAAATTGTTGATATTGAATATCAAATGATCAAGGCTGGCGCGCTAATCCCCTCTCCGTTTAGAGTAGAAGGTTTTGATTCACTTGAGAACGGTTGATAGAGATTGATTGCAAGTGTTACCTACTGGGTCTCGGTTTCGACATGTGCACTCCGACAAGATATTATCTTTCATTATCCAACTTGCATCGTTCCTGTTCAAGCGTTTCACAAGCAATAGTAATGCAGTGAGAGACGACTAGCGCATTTCTTTCATCGCCAAGTCGTGCGAAAAATAAAGCTCCGAATGGCGACTGATACCCAGAAAGTGCGTCCGGTCGGCTTACTTAGAGGTCGCGGAAGTCTATCACGAATAGATGGATAGCTAAGTACAATAAATAATGAGGATGAAATCGACGAATGCACGATTACAGTGGTACATTACGGTAGTACAACAAAGACGTAAGGTGTACGTCGTACATACGAATATGTAAGTTTGTGCGTATGTTCGTACTATGTAACTCCACTTTTCCTCTCAAAAAAATAGTAGCTATGTGTTTTACTATTAGTTTGTAGTAGATTAATATAATAGTTGTTGTTGTTCGTGTGCCTTTTGAGAACAACAATCTGATGATTGTACAGAGAGATTTTCACTATTTAAGGGGCCATCCTGGTGGAAGGAGAAAGAAAAATACTACTAGTAGTAGTAGTACTACTAGTATTTAGTAGTATGATACCACCACCACTGGTGGCGGTGCAGGTGGCATTCTTGTTCTTGAGCTACCACCACCACCACCACTAGTAGTAGTACTAGTAGTAGTAGTAGTAGTAGTA